AGCTTCTGCTATTCTTTGATCGATAATACTATTTTCTATATAAATGTTGAGAATAGGAATATTTCTTAGAAATGCCGCCGAAACCAATGCAAACATGGTTACTGTTGATGAAGAACCTAGTATAATGACTGCTGTACTTTGTGTACCTTGCATAACCATATCAAATGCATAAAGCACTTCAGCAGCAGCAATGATTGGTGTTGGATTTGTATCATAATCACGACCAATCATAAAATCATGAAATGATTGAACTACTTTTTTTATTTCAATAGTTTCTAAATCAGTATTTACAACATTTGAAGTTGCAAAGTGAAGTGAACCACCAATTTGAGCCATTTGTTGTTGTGTATATTTTATTAAGATCATTGCATCATTCTGTGTTTCTGCATATAGTAGTAATGATGGTTTCGATTTTTTGTAGCTATGCATCAAACGATCACCACGTAACCATAATTGATCCTTAATATATGTTCTACTTGATGCAGTTCCAGCTATTTTTCCAGTAGTATCACCTCTATTACTGATTGTTAGATAATCTTTTGAGAAGGAATGAGTAGAAGTATGATTTCTATCAACTGGCATAACAAAACTTCTTATATTTGCATATTTACGTGCATTTGCACATAAATGAAAATCTTCACCAGTACTCCATGAATATATTTTATCATGAAACATAAGTTTCACCCATTCACTTTCCATAAACCAACTTCCACCGACAACATCTGCTTCAATTATTCTATTACTTCTTGATAAAGGACCATAGAAAACATTAGCTGATGCGGGTGTACCTTTAGTTCCTAAAATACCTCGATATTGTTCTGTATTGATTGTATGCAATGCAGTTTCAAAATAGCGTGCTTGTGGTATACAATCATCGTCAAAAACGATTACATATTTTGTTTGACATTGAAGAGCAAGTTGAAATCTTCCGAAATATTTTAATTGCATTTCTCCCATGCCTACGAATAGAATTGAAGGTAATTTCATACACAATGTCAGACATTTCTCAATACAATTAGATAGAGCCATATTATTAATAGTAGAGTTTATTTTGCACTTTTTCTCTGCACACAAATCATTACAATAATTTGATCCATTACTAAATAATGGACGTATTTTTTCAATTTCGAGCTTAATTTTATCTACAATAGGTGACGCAAAATAAGTAATCCATATATATTTGGGTGGATGTGTTTGTAAAAGAAGTGCTTCAATCCATCTTTGAATTAAACCTTGACGTTTATACATTCCAATGATAGCAGTAACTGTAAATGTTTCTTCATTTTGATTTGATATATTGTATCGACTAGGAATTTTGAGCAATTCATCGAGAATAAGAGCAGGTTGTACTTTTGTAAGATTATTCATTATGTTTCGTCTAATAGTATGTGATGGTATATTTGTATGAGATACATTCAAATAAGAATAAACAACTTGAGCAATAGAATCTTGACGAAATTTTGTCATACATTTCAAATTTGGTATATGCTTACCATAAAAATAATTATCTATAATAGCTGCAATTTTCTTCGATGCTGTTCCATCACCAAAAATATTTGTTTTTGATATTCGATTTTTTGATTTGAAATTAATCAATTCTAAATTAACTGCTTGTACAATTTCATCATAGTTGATACCTATTTGTTTGATTGTACCAAGATAAATTCCTTCAGGCCTTTCAGTAGTCATTCGCATCAAAATAACAGTTTTTCCAATGGTAACTGCTTCTTCTTGAATTCCACCTGAATCAGTCATAACAATATCTGATTGTGATAAAACATGTCCAAATATATCATAAGATATTGGATCAACAATTTTGACATTTTTTAATCCATCTAAATTTTTTAATATTACATGTTTTACATTTGGATTTGGATGAATAGGTAAAATAATTAAAACATTATTTTCATGTTCTTTTGCTATAGTTGCAATAGCACGGCACATATCAAACAAATATTCAAAATTCTCTCGTCGATGCATTGTAACAAGAATGATGATAGAATTGATTTCATTTGTAAAATTTTTCTTAAAATTATTAATAGTTCTCAATATTGAGATATCTTTCGTTGTATTTGTTTTTTTGTGATATGCATAGAATGCATCAACACCAGTATTTCCTGTAATAAAGACATCTGTTTCACAAGCACCTTCTCGAAGAAGTACTTCTTTGGTAAATGTTGTAGGAGCAAACATAAGTTTTGCAAAAGAATCAATGATTTTGCGATTGAGCTCTTCTGGATAGGGATTTGATAGATTAAATGATCTAAGACCTGCTTCAACATGTGCAACAGGAATATGATGATATGCAGCAGCTAAAGAAGAAGCAAGTGCTGTTGTTGTATCACCTTGTATTATCAATAAATTAGGTTGAATTATATTAATTTGTTTAGTTACTCCAGAAAACACTCGAATGAATAATTCAGATAATTTTTGATCGTACATCATCAAGTCTAAATTGATATCAATATTTTGTTGAAATGCAATTAAAGTTTGTTGTAATATTTGTCGATGTTGACCAGTACTAAGTACAATAACTTGAAATTTTGAACGATAATGATCTGATTTTAGTTCAGAAATCAAAGGAGCACATTTGATTCCTTCAGGACGTGTACCTAATACAATCAGGATTTTTGGTAGATTTGTACTGTTCATAGAAGATATCATTAAACTATTGACTGTGTGTTTAGTTCTATCATAGTTAGGTCCAAGTAAATGTGTCCATGATGACATATAGTCTTTGTTATTTTTGACGAGGATATTCAATATAATCACATAAAACAATAGAACAAGTATCGTAATCAATAGACCAAAGCGTCCTATTTGAGTAAAAGTCATATATTAATTTTTCTAGTAGTTTAGTCAACAGTATGAAAAGATAGTATATTAATCTTAAAAAAAAACATAAAAATCAAAATTTGTAACTTATGTAAAAAAATTAGGGTAATGATTAGATTAAAATCGACTAAAATCATACGGTTCTAATTGGTTTCTAATCACTTTGTTTCCTGAACAAGAAAAAATTAGATATCTCTTCTGTATTTTGATTGTATAGACTAATTTACAAGTTATTTTCGTCACTTTCAAGCGAAAATTAGGTATAGATATTTTCAAAGTATCTTTTTTCTATGGATAGTTGGTTGCAGTAACGGTGTCATTAAGGATTTGGACAAGGAAAGAGTTGCTGATGATCATTATCACCTAAGTTCTTCTACAAGAACTGTTCTCCTATGATCAGAATACAAGCTTTACTATTGGCTGATTTTCTGAGGTGCTCTATCATACAGAAAGCTTTTTGTACAGCTTATATATTTGTCAGTTTTTCAAATTTCTCCTAGCTACAAGAATCGTGTTCCATGTACGTTGATTTCATTACGGTTGAACAAGGTAAAATACTACTCTTGTTTTGAATATAATTGTCCCGTTCTTATCTTCCCACAACGGATAAAAAAAAATGAATGTCCTTATTCTCATGCCTAAAAATGAAGAACACAGTTCTCTTGACTGATTCAACACATTATTCTTAGTTTTCATTTGATCTGAAATTTATAGTACAGATTACAACGTCTTGTTATTCATTATATTTAGAAAATTTCAATCATGAATAGAATGAACTCATTGAGAAAGCTACAAAGGTAGTTCTAGTATACTGATGTGATTGGAATACATATTTGCTACAACTCTCATCTAACACTTTTTTCCTGCCTCTATTTCAATTCTGTGATGATGATTAGATGTCTAACATAGTTTCATCTGTAAAACAGTCTAGTTAAGAGCTAATCATCATTGAAGAATTGAAAATGAAGCCATAGATGATTGCACAAGAACATTTACAACAAATTTTGATATCAGCTACTCAAGAGCATATGAGATCTCGTTGCTATTTTCTTAATAAATGCTCTTTCTTCAAGATCAAAACCTTGATAATGCATTAAGTAATGAAACATGTATCTGCTGTATAAATATAACTTGAAATAGGATATGAATAATATAGTTTTCTTCAGTGAAATAAATAAATTGTCTTGTGAAATTCAATATTAAACTATGAGTTTAAACTGGAAGTTCGAATTCCTTCAGAAATAATCTTTCTTAAACATAGATTTCATCTTCTTGTCAAATGATATGACAAAATGAATTCATTCAGAAACAGTTCTTTTCCTTAGAATATACTAATTATTTTGATTTTCATACTCTTCATTTCTTCTCTCATCTTTATTTTTTTTCTTAGATCCTCATTCTTATTTGACTGTCACATTTGAACTCCATCATAAACTACAATAACAAACTTTTTTTAGCAATTATCATGAATAACAAGACAAGAAGATCACTGTAAATTATCATATTTGTACCTTTTCTCATAAACATAAGGTTATAAATCATTCTGTATCAGTCACAAAAAAACTGACCAATTTGAGCAAAGTATGAAGATGAGTTTTGATTTTATTCTTTCCAGTGAACAATTTTACAAGTTGTACTCTTATCTACTCTCTCTCTCTCTCTTTGTCGTTATCCAACAAAGATAATCTCGAAATTTTCTTCACATAAAGATATTTTATTGATGATTACAAAATGCAAATATATGAATATGTAGTATTTTAACTGAAAAAAAAGTATTTGTTATGAAAAATAAACTGAATTTGATAATAGAATTATGACATGTCATTACAATGTTGTAATAGTATTATTTGTTATAATTTTGACATCGCATACCTGAAATTCATCCAAAGAAGAAATTCTACTTGCATTAAAAGCAATAAATCTAAAAGAATGAAAACCAGCATTGAATTGAGTAGAATTGAAGGCAATCACATATTGTTGTTTATTTGATGTCGAGTTTTGACTTTTTATTGTAATTCCTTTC